AAACTTTTAAGGATTTCAAGGACCCGGTGAATACCTTGGTAACTGAAATCTGCTGCATAGTTAGACATTCAAGCATCACTTCATTCAATACTGTTTATGTGCAGTATGAGTATGTTGCACACATCAGCAACAGATGTATGATATATATATATATATATATATATATATATACTTAGGTTACAATGCATGGATGGAAAGGAATATTATATACAGACCCGGTCAATGGTTTAAGGTTGGTAAGATGTTTTTTAATGCATTAAAAAATGCAATTTTTTAACTGTACTAGACATGTAATGTTGCCCTCTTGCTGCTGTTCTGATTGCTTATTCAAGTCGCTTTGGAGAAAAGCGTCTGCTAAATGATTGAATGTAAATTCAAGTCTGCAATGTAAAGTCTGCATTTATTGCTTAAAAAAAAAAGTAAAAGTTGTGAAACATTATTACAACTTAAAACAGAGGTTTTCTGTGTGAATATATCGTAAAATGTAATTTATTCCTGTGATCAAAGCTGAATTTTCAAGATCATTACTCCAGTCTTCTTCAGTTGTACGATGAAAACAGAGAGCATTGAGCAACAGGAGGTCAAGAGCAGTCAGGACAATTGCAAGTTCCCCTTCCCTCTGAAATTCCTTGCATCATCAAAACACAGTTCCTGACGAGTGAAGCTTTGGGCCATACTGTGGATCTTGATCATTTGTTCATATTTAAAGCCTCCATGAAAAATATGGGATTTGTTTTATGTAATATTACAGTTTCAATATATATTATTTATCTACACATTTTTTATTTTATTTTTTTATTCATGTGCCTCGTAATCTTGAATCAGAATATCTATCCCTCAAAATTAAGTCACACATACTGTATGGTTGGCATCCATAAAGGCTAATTCTGACTCTGGGTCTTCGTTCCTCATATCTGGTTCTGGGTCTTTAACTGTTAACCCCTAACATCGTGGCAGTGAGTGAATTTGAAACTGAGACACAGCTGTAAAACTAAAGCAGTAAAACAGGTTTCTATAGATGGACAGAAACTGATTTTTTTTCTTCTCTGATCAGTAAATCAGGGGAGAGCGGGGCACAACCTAACGCATTTTGGTTTTGGCTCAATTAATTAAAAAAATAATGAGGTTAGATGAATACTTTTCTTACACAAGCAACATACACATCTCTGCTACAAATGACCACTTAAAGTTTTTTTCTAGGACCTACCATTTTCATACAGTTGCACTGAAAGTGACAGAAGTGCAAATGTTACAACTTACCCCATACGCGGGGTTAATTGTAACGGATAGACGGGTAAGTTGTAACACTTAACATAATTCAGGACTATTTTATTTGTATAGTTTGATATTGTTTGTGCATATATCCATACATCCATCCCTCATCCAATCATCCTTTTGTTATGGATCAATATCATGGATAGAGACATAGAAAAGGGCTGCATAGTTTTGCAATAAATAATAATAAATAAAATTATAAATATTGTAATTGCAATTAAATTAGATTTGTGTGTGGCAGCTGCATGTACAATTATTATTATTAATAATAATAACAGTAATAATGGTTTATTGGGTTTATTGCATTAATAACAGGCCATATTTTTAATAAATAAACAAGTTATCATTCATAGTACACGAAATTTTAAACATTTTAAATTCCAACATTGTTTCTGAAAGTCTAACAAAGTTAAATACTCAAACCTGAAAAGTTGTGTGGCTCCGTTTTCATTTGATTATCATTGTACACTTGGCGGCTTAGTTGTAACACTGCGTTACAACTAACCCCGCTGTGCATTGCATATTTTAAACCTAGCTAACAGTCGATAGGAATTGCGGACATGTTTCAAAACGGTGCTATGTTTGAGCCAACAAGACAGTGATTAAGGCAATATAAAGTTAGATTTGGAAACGTATACACAGAAACCGAAAAAAAAACCTATGATGAAAAAAATTACTTTCATGGTGTCAAAACACTCTTTGTCCAATATCTTTGCGAAATATAATCAAAACTTTCCGCAAATTCGCGGGAGACCGTCTTCTGGCAGCGAGAGAAAAATAGCGGAAAGACGGCCTGCTTGATCCTGACGAACTATGTAAACGGTCCGTGTTACTTTTAACCCCGCGTTAGGTTGTGCCCCGCGATCCCCTATCATTTTTCTGATGGTTCATCATTCTTTGTCATGCATACTTTTATACATTTAAGAAAAACCAAAAGGGCTTATGGCAAGAAAGGTGAAGAAGGTGACAGTGAGCAGAGCTTACATATCAACTGTCTGGAAATGAAAGCAGTTGGTTTCTTTCAAACCTCAGGGATTGCAACATGTCGGTGGTGGCCTACATAAATCTCCAGGGGGGCATCAGTTCAGGCAAACTGCATGCAATGGCAGTACCTCCTCCTCTGGGCACAAGCCAATCCTAGCTCTCTGAGAGCAGCACACATCCCGTGCATCCAAAGTTTGGGCCCGGATATGCTCTCACGGGGCAACACTCCCCTAAGTGAGCGGTCCCTGAACCCTCTGACGGTCAGGCTAATATGTTAGATGTTCGGTAAGGCCGAAGTCGACCTTTTTGCCTCGAGAGCCAACACCCACTGCAGGGTGTTCGCTGGCTCAAGCCTGGCCCAACCGCCCCCTTTATAGACCATTTCACAAGATGTAAACAACACTGGTCCAGAAGCACTTCCTGTTTCAGTTTTTTTAACACTACATAAAAGCTGGGATAAAATACAACCAACAAAACATTTAAAACTGAATCAAAAAGTTAAACAAACATCTTTAAGATGTTTTCTTTACATGTGAAATAAAGAAAACAGTTACAAACTGAAACAGGAAGTGCTTCTGGACCAGTGTTGTTTACATCTTGTGAAATGGTCTATACTTTCCCCCCATCTCGATAATCCCACAAGTCATCGAACGGGTCAGAGAGAAAGGATGCCCAGTCCTTCTGGTGGCTCCTCTCTGGAAATCCAGACCATGGTTTCCGGAGCTGATTCGGTTCTCCTGTCTTGTTCCAATGACACAGGCCAACGCAACCATATGGCATCCCCGACCCAGCCTCCATGTCTGGCCCCTAAACGGGTACCCGAGGATCTGGATAAACCTGGACTCTCCGTCCGCGCTGTTCTGTTTCAGTGGCCAGATGAATAGTGGATGCCATTTCGATGGCTTATACCTCAGTTGGTCAGCTTTGCCCTAAAAGTGTCAAGGCCGATTCGACCAGACGCATTGGCTCATCATTAGCTTGGTCATCTGGTTTTCCCATTCAAGATATTTGTGATGCGGCCGGCTGGTCCTCGCCTTCCACATTTATGAAGTTCTATAATATGGAGGTGAATCCATAGGTGAATCAACTTCCCCGAATCCAACATGAAAAAGTTACTCCTGATGTCATGGAAAGGACCAGAAATACCCACCGACAAAATGTGGCTTCGGGACATGTCCAATACTCTACATTTGGAAAAAATTAGATATTTGTTGAAGGACAATCTCCCAGGTTTTTATAAGATCTGGCAACCCTTTATAGATTTCTTACAATCAGTATCTGTATAAATACTTATTTGCTTTTACCTTATTCATATAAATTATTATTGTACTTTCTGCTACAAAACTTTATTCTACTTCCGCTTTGTCTGTTTTTGTTTGTGTCTATATGTACAGTTATTTAAAAATATTTGAGCCTCTCCTGTATTGTTGATCGAAAACTGTATAAGGTATATATGCTCAATAAAAAACTTTACAAATTAAGATCCAACATGGGCTGGTCTTGTCTACAAAATTATCGTGCATAATCACATATATATATATATATATATATATATATATATCGCCTCGGACGGTTATAAAATTGTATAAAAATTGTACAATTGTATGGTTTTGTTAGTACATTCTGTTAGTTACTGATATATATTATTCAGGCCCAACAGAGTCTCATCTGTTTTATATATATATATATATATATATATATATATTATATAATTGGGTTCTGGCTTGTTCTGTTACCTCAGGGGTCCTCAGTTGTGTGTTACTCAACCAGTTACTTAGGGTGCAGTGTTTTGCATATAGCTATGCAATACTAAGTGACCTTTCGAAAGGGAACTACTCGGTTACTATCATAACCTCAGTTCCCTGAGAGAGGGAGCTAATGTTGCGTATAGCCGGTCGCACTATAATTGGTGAAGTTGTCGCTTCAGTCGTATAAACCTGCTATAATAGTGAATTCGGGGGTCAGTTATAGGCTAGGCCACGCCCCCTCGATGGGCTCTGACGTTGGGCGCGCTCATTGGTCGCACGTCAGAGTCACCCGCACCATTGGATGTGCAGCTGCAAATGCGTTTTACACATAGGCTTCAGTAAATCGAGGAAAAGGAGTTTCTCCACTGCATATGGCTACGCAATACTCGTTCCCTCTCTCAGCGAACTGAGGTTACCCAAGTAGTTTTAGCAGTATCACACTGTGAAGCCACAGGGTGGTTATGGTCAGGCAGATTTCTGCAGAATAAGCCATTATTATCCAGATGGTTGGAAGACCACCATCAAACTAGTATGCTTACATTCATTTAAACTTTACTTGGTAAATCCACATTTATTTATTATTGAAGTTACTTCTCTAAAACCCACAGTTAACTAGCCTTGCATTCAAAACTCATGGGAGCATGTTTATTTCATGTGAAATGTATGAAAGAAAAAAAACTGCCCCGTCCAATAATTGACCCTGAAATGTATGAAGCAAGTTTGTTTTGTAAAAACTTGCATTAAACATGAAGGTCTGACCTCTTTGTGCACCTGTTTGGCACCAAGAAAGAGCGCGTTACTAATATTGAAGCAACACACACACACACACACACACACATGGTTTGTGGTTACCATGACAGGAAATAGGCAGCCAAAGTGCAGTCATAGCATCCGGACAACACCCTTTGCTTGCAAATAAAGCCATTGACATTAAAAAATTAAAATACAATTTTACTGTGCATTAGAAAAACCCAAAACGTACAAAAGACAGCTGGTCGACTACAGTTGAGATCATTCATATTGTGCAATGATGAGGCTGCACAACACGTGTCCATTGGTTTATTATTACGTGTGTGCAAATTGGCTCTCTGAGCTTCTGTCCGTGGCCATTCCTCTTATCTGACCAGGTGGAAGGTGAGCCAGTACATGAACACGGGCTGTGCTGCAGCGATGGCCATGGTCAGGTACATCCGCAGCTGGTTTTTGGCTCCTCGCACTAACCGTCCCTCCGCGGTGTACCTAAATCATCTAAACAAACTATTCCAGGTGATACCTGGCTTACTTCTGAGAACGGTGTTTATGAATAATTGTGATTGATATTGGTGCAATTGTTAAACCGTTAAAGGGTTAGTTCACCCAAAAAGGAAAATTCTGTCAGTATTTACTCACCCTCATGTTGACCTTCGTTCATCTTTGGGACACAAATTAAGATATTTAAGATATTAAGATCGCTCCTGCATAATAGTCCGTAGGCTTCTTGAGGGAATGACTCTTGCTGTCCTCGAAAAGTCATTAAAGACATCGTTAAAATAGTCCAAGTGACTACAGGGGCTCAATCTTAACTTTATCAAACGACGAGAACACTTTTTGTGCGCAAAAATAACGACTTTATTTCAACTATTCGTTTATTTCTCCCTCTGCGCGAGTCGGGTTACTAGTTTAATAGCGTAAGCTTCTGTTATTGTACGTCACACGCATCACACACATGACCAGCGTCGGCCAATAGTGAGCCTACGTGTGACGTAGCTTTATGCAATCACACTACGTTAACTGACTACAGGCCCATGGAGAAGGAAGTGAATAGTTGAAATAAAGTCATTATTTTTGTTGTTTTTTTGCGCACAAAAGTGTTCTCGTCGTTTGATAAAGTTAAGCTTGAGCCGCTGTAGTCACTTGGACTATTTTAACGATGTCTTTAATGACTTTTCGATGCCAGCACCCAGCTAACAGGGAACGTTCCCAGAACATTCACTAACGTTCTTTAAAAGTTGTGTAAATGTTAGGACAAAACGTTATTAAAATAATGTTTTCGGAACGTTCATATAACATTATTAACGTTCTTGTAACGTTGAGAGTAAACGTTCTTAGAACAACGTTCTTGGAACGTCTTTATCACGTTATTTGTATTTGATGAACGTTCTCATTACGTTGATAAAAAACGTTCTTAGAACAACGTTATCGGAACGTCTTTATCAGGTTATTTATGTTTGATAAACGTTCTCATAACGTTCCAGCAACATTATGCTAACCTTAGGATAACGTTCTAACAACATTATGCTAACGTTCCAGCAACGTTCTGCAAACATTAAGACACCGTTCCAGCAACGTTAAGCAAACTGGACATTTCCACGTTTTTAGAACATTTTAAATAACGTTCCCACAACCAAAATGGAACGTTAGAAAAACGTTCTCAGAATCTAACTTTGTCATTCCCTCAAGAAGCCTATGGACTAGTATGCAGGAGTGATCTTAATATCTTAAATATCTTAATTTGTGTTGCGAAGATGAACGAAGGTCAACATGAGGGTGAGTAAATACTGACTTTTGGGTGAACTAACCCTTTAACTTATATTTATAATTTGTCTTTCAAAAAAGATGTATTCCGAAGCAAAATAAAAATGTCTAAAGTCATACCACTATTACCACTATATAAAGTTGGAGAGAGAAATCAATTCACGAATTACAGGCCATTGTCTTACTCTCGCAGTTTTCTAAAAAAAATGTATGCAAGGTTATTATGCGGGAGCCAGTGGGAGCTGACTCGAACATGGTTGAAAACAGAAAAAAAAATCTAATGTGAAAGAACTTGGTTCCCGTTTTAGTGTTACACTTGATAAAAGCACAATTCATGTCCGTGCTTAATTGATTATTTATGTGAATGCGATGTAACTGGGAAGGGCGACCTGGACAATTTGTTTTTTGACATTGTTGAGTTGAACAAGATGCAGAATCTTTATATGAAGAGTTCAGATGCAAAAGCCTCTAAATGCAATTTGAAATTTTCTTCTTTAATGATGATTTTTATCAAACTTGTATATTTAAGTTCAGTGATTTCACTTAAATGGCAATGATAATTGTTATTTAAGTGAAATTACTGAACTTAAATATACAAGTTTGATAAAAATCATCATTAAAGAAGAAAATTTCAAACGGCATTTAGAGGCTTTTGCATCTGAACTCTTCATATGACGCACTGAAAAACAATCTTCAGGTGGCTGGGATGGATGCAACGTTTCTTCGGAAAAATTGAATAAGCACAGCCACAGACGGTGCTGCTGTCCTAACCGGGACACAGACAGGACTCATAGAAAGACTGAAACTGATTTTCCTCAACTTCAGGCAGTACACTGTGAAGAATTAGCTGTGAATGACTCATTGAAAGTGGTTGCAGGGTGTTTCCTCTCCAAACTCTATGCAATTTTTTCCATCAGTCCACAATAAAACGCAAGGGAGTTCAAGGGGCTTCAGAGCTAAACATGCAGATTCTTAAAATCAATAAGATAGGGGCAAGCAGTTTCAACACTGCAAGGATTTTCTTGTGTATACTTTTCAACATATACTGGTTTGCTAAACCATCTGTCATCCACCGGGTTTGTCAATGGCTACAAGGACTCTCCTTTAAATTGCAGAGACAGGACACTTCTCTATATGCAAACCGTTTCATTCTCCAAACAATTGAGGTGCTCTCTGCCATGAAAGACCGAGGGGGAACTGAAAATACAGCTCAAAGTGGTTGTTCTCACCAAAGCCCCAGGCAATCGTTAACAATCTCCCCAAGCGTCTCCCCGACAGTGACCTGTTGACTATGTTGAAGCCAATGGATCAACACTTTTGGCCTGAAGAGAGAGCAAAGAAGTATATTTAAAGTTCATTTTATTAGTAATGTTCAAGTATATTTTTAAGTATACATTATGTAGTAAGTATACTAATGTCACTGTGTACTAACTTGTAAGTGTACTATTTTAATACCGCTTGGGACTAAATTGGCCCACTTTTAGTACATAAAAGTACATGTTTAAGTGTACTATAAGTGTAACAGTAACTAGTTCATAATTATGTATCTCATGTGTACTGCAAGTGAATTTATGGGTATACTAGTTTACTTTTTTACTGTAATACTTATACAAGTATACTTTGAATACTTAGTTATACTTTTAAGTATTTCTGGATCAAAAGATTGAGTACAAGAACAGGACAAATTTACTTGCTTTTCTCTCAGTATAAGTCAAGTACACTTAAGTGTAGGCAAGGCAAGTTTATTTATATAGCACATTTCATACACAATGGCAATTCAAAGTGCTTTACATAGAAGAAATTAAAATAATCAAAAGAAATCAGAATAGGTTCAAGGTTCAAGGTTCAATTTATTTATAAAGCACATTATAATACAACATGAGTTGACCAAAGTGCTGTACATACGAAAGAATAAAACTGTACATAACATGCTGTACAGAAAATAGAAAGTAAAAAAAAAAAATAAATAAATAAAAATAAAATGAAAATAAAAATTAAAAATTAAAACAGTTTAGAATAAAAAATAAGAAATAATGAAAAATAAAAATGATGATAAAAATAAAATACAGTAAATTAAAACTATTTAGAATAAAAAAAAAATAAAATAAAAAAAGCAATTTGAAGTATATTTCTGAGAAGTATATACTTCTGAGAAGTACAGGAAAAATAAACTGAAAGTATACTTTCTTATTTTTAGTTTTAAAGAAGTATACTACTGGCACACTTGAATAAACACTTTTTCGTAAGGGAGAACTGAGCATGAGGTTGCGACCTTTGCAAAACTACCCGGAGTGTCCGCTACTGAAGCAGTCAGTGAGTTCAGAGACTCAAAAGAGGGAAATCGTTAAAAAGACGTATTGTGGTAAGCAACACTGTTCTCCTTGCCTCTGCGGAGTGCGAGAGAGGATTTTTTGCATGCAAAGACACACTCTTTCAGACCAGAAACAGACTGCGTGCCAAGAGCCTTTCTGCATTGTTGTTCGTGGACTTGAATGGCCCACCCCTCGACAGATTTGATCCTGCTCCAGTCGTCCATTCCCGGATAAAGGCAGGACATCAGACGTCAGCATCATGGGTCCCAGGACCACAGCCACAGCCTGCTGAAATCAGACCACTTTGGTCCATTTTCTCTGTATAATGGAAGGCTAATTATTGGCTTTTACTGTTTAACTGGCCATTGTGTTCTCCCATTGTGTAAGATTTAGGCGATTACGATGAAAAATATCACTGAATTGCACAGATCAGCACCACAATTGAGAAAGGTATTTGTTTACATCCTATCTACAACAAAGTCCAAAACATGTCATGTAGATATTTCAATATTAGAAATGAGTAACCTAATTGTAAACCCTTGGGTGTCACCTGTGGAGTATACCACAGGGGTCAATATTGGGTCCAAAATTATTTATCATGTACATAATGACATATGTAGGGTGACTAACCTCAAATCAAAATTTGTGATTTTTTGCAAATGATACTAATATTTTTTTGTTCTGGGAAAGCGGCTTTTGGAGGTGGTCACAGCAGAAATTAATAGGTTAATAATAAATTGGTTTCACTTAAAAAATTATCGATAAATGTAGATTAAACCAAACCTATGACATTTGGCAATCTTAAAACTGTCACATAAGTAAAAGTATTGAATGATTAATAATGTCAAAATAGAAAGAGTGTACGAAAATAAATTGTTGGATGTGATTCTGGATGCCAAAATCTGTTGGAAACCCCAAAACAAAAATAGTGCA